GGTACAGTAGAAAAACCATTATGCCTATGGAGAGTCCCCACAAGGATAGCAAACCAGACAAGTGTGAGTGTGTGTGTGTGTGTGTGTGTGTGGTTACTGGCAGTAACGTCGTATCTGGACTCCTTTTGCTCCTGTAATTAACTCCAGATGTGCGACGGAAGTTTCATGAACTCATGAGCGCGTTTTGAGAGAGTTTGTACACGAAATATTTTCGAGTTTGCGAAGGTGTTCCGAGGTTATGAAGTCTGTTTGTGCTGAGATGAGCGTCTGCAGCTGTGTTGAGTTCCTCCAGCAGGCGGCGCTCCGCGGATCAGCACCAGCTCTTGTTTGGGGGGCGTTTATGTCATAAAAGTATAATTCAAACAGTGCAATCACACGGATTCGTACAAATACAAACTGAGCTCTGTTAAATGCATTATTATTATTATTATTATTATTTTTGTATAAAAATAATTTTATTAGCGCAGAGAAAATCAACAGGAACAGTGGTGTCTCTTTCTGGATACACTTTGATTGACACTTTAATTGAAGATACACAGTTTGTGTGTATTTCTCAGTTATTTTATTTTTTTAAGGTGTCTTTGTTACAGTGTAATTATACATTTAAGTACTGAGTAATATTAATTAACTACATGAACTTACTTTAGGGTTAGGGTTTGTGTTTGTCTTAGGGTTACATGCATGCAATTATGCATAAATAATAATTATTATTATAGTAGGTACATGTAACGTGTAACAAGGACACCTTAAAATAAAGTGTTACTAATTTGTCTTCAGTAAGCCGCTGAGCCCCGCCCACTTTCAGAGTTGCGAGTTGAGTGACATTCCGCTCTGTTCTGTTTCTGTGGTTCTGATCTGAAAATGACATCATGATCCCGAGCGGAGAAAGAGGCGGAGCCTGAACACACACACACACACACACACACACACACACTGCTCCGGTCGGCGCTGTGCGGCTGTAGTTCGGTCGGATGGTGTTTGCGGCGGGGTGTGAGCTCGGTTTCGGTTCCGTCATGTTTGATGCCAGTGTTTGGCGGATCCGCAGCATCCGGGACTCTGTGAGACTCGAGATCAGCGACGAACCGAGTCCTGCGGTGCTGAACCGATTCACTCATCTGGATCCGGACACTCCTCAGCTGGAGGTAGAAAGAATCATCAATACAGATATTACTCCTCTCTCATATAGAGTGATAATAATAATCAAATGTATTACAGAAATATCATTTTAAATTTGTACTAATCCGCAGAAATAAGCAAAAACATTTGTGGATGTTGCCCTGTAATGCACACTTTGTTATCAGTTATAATATCTTTTCATAGTTACACATTTTGAACTCCTTACAATTTATGATCAGCTACAAATGTTGCATTTTTATGTCACGTGTTACAGTAGAGCTATTTCTGATACATTATAACGTTGAGGTGAAACAATGATTGTGTGAGTATAAGAATGGTTACAATTATAAACAAATAATGGATTGGACATGCGTGTGTTATTCAGCATTATTAACAGCTTTACAGTGAATTATATACAGGCATGAGGTGTTACTGTAAAAAGAAATATGTTTTATTAGCGCAGAGAAAATCAACAGGAACATGTCTGTCTCTTTCTGGATACACTTTGATTGACACTTTAATTGAAGATACACAGTTTGTGTGTATTTCTCAGTTATTTTATTTTTTTAAGGTGTCTTTGTTACAGTGTAATTATACATTTAAGTACTGAGTAATATTAATTAACTACATGAACTTACTTTAGGGTTAGGGTTTGTGTTTGTCTTAGGGTTACATGCATGCAATTATGCATAAATAATAATTATTATTATAGTAGGTACATGTAACGTGTAACAAGGACACCTTAAAATAAAGTGTTACCAAA